CAGCAGGAAAGTGTATAATTCAGTGGCTATTTCTAATGCTGTAGAGCTGTTTAAGCTTATTTTCCTAAGTACCTCTACTTCACCAGCAGTGTCCAATAGGTTAGCAGAAATTCTACGGCACTACTCAGAGCATGATCTTTTTGCAGCTTTTAACTTCCTTAGAGAGAGGAAATTTATGGTAAGGCTTTTGATTTTGATTGTTACCTCCTTTTTTTTTTTTTGTGTGTCTTCCTTGGTTATATATGTTGAATTCATTCAAAACTATGATGTTTTGGTCCCATTCTGGTTTTTGAATTTGGCTCTAGGGAAATGAGCACACAGAGATACTAGAACAATCTTCTTTCTGATTTTTAAAGTCATATTACATCACAGCCAGCTAAGAAATTAAGAATGTCTTTGATCTGAATTCCAACATGGTTATTGTCTGCTGCATGTTTGACAAGAACCCCGTAGGATCTTATCATGTAATATTTTGTCAGAAATTATTTCTCCCACTTGTGGGTTTTCATATTCTTGAACTGTTGTTTGATATCGACTAGTAGTTTTATGTGCAGACATAATATGGATTTTTCTACGCATGAGGTTTGATGAACATGTTCGCTAAATGACCTGAATTTGACTTGCGGAAATTATGGACAAAACTTTTGTGCACGTGTATATATTTGCAATAGAAATAGATGATACCATTAATTTGAAGCTGTTCATAGACCTTGTGGCTTATTCTCGGAACATGTTTTTTGAGTGCCACAAGAAAATGATTTAAACATGCTACATGATGATAACGTGTTTCGATTCAAATACATTTCATGCTTATTAATCAAGTCGTAAAGCAAGTTTTAATGGCATAGAGCATAGTGTTTGGTGTTTACTAGTTTTTTAATCAATGTTTAAGACATTGTTCGAGGCGTGCCTCAAATTGAGGCGGCCTTGTATAGCTTGGAGGCTCAGGCCTTGAGGCTATTGAGGCGTGAGCCTTTTCAGGGAGGCCCTTTGGGATGGTTTGGATGCTTTTGTGCCTTTTTTTAAACAGTAATTATGGGTCTGTTTTGAGTTGGTTCTGGGCTGCAATTTGGATTAGAAAAGGAAAATCTATTTAAAATCCTAACTGTGAACGAGGGAATAGGTAGGAAGGAGAAAAAAAAAAAAAATCAAGCACACAATATTTATGCCCTTGCTAAAATTCTGGTCCAGGGTTCGGCCCCTAAGCAGGGTGCATACTGCCCCATCAAAGCGCCACGTCGATCTGCAGTAACATTTGATTCTTCCTACTACTGAAGATAATGATTGCTGCATTGATTGTGCTAAATGGGGTGGATGTTATAGGGAACTAATGGCTTTTGCTCTTGTTGTTTCTTTTTTCCTTTTTTTGCCTTCTTGTTTTTGTTGGTTTTAGCTATCTGTTCTTGAGGTTCTCTCATCATTTTTCCTTTGTGATTTTTTTTTAATCAAGTAAAGGAAGTTTTCTTATTTAAAAAATAAAAGATGGTGGCTGCTTTAATTTTATAGGACTTAAGACTTGAATTGTATTTTTTGTCTCATTTAGAGTCTTAGATTAATACTAAGATTTGACTGCATTTCTCTGACTCTAGTCTCTGGACTTTTGCGCTGGTAATTGGGAATCTGATAGTCGTCCTTCTCAAATAAAGGTCCAACTTTGCAACTGTATGTATTATGTTCTGAATGAACTTTTGGCATTATTTGACAGGTTGGTGGTAGTGGTAATCAACCCTTTTCACTTTCACAACAGTTCATGCATAATGTTTCTAAGTCACCATTTCCGACTAATTCAGGAAACAGAGCTGCTAAATGTGCTAATTGGCTCCATGAAAGTGAAAATGATCTTACAGGAGGAGGGCTTGATCTCAGTGATGATTTACAGTGTGGGGATATTTTTCATTTGTTCGCTTTAGTTTCCTTAGATCAGTTATCTCTCTCTCCATGTTTGCCAGATGAAGGTGTTGGAGAGGCTGAGGATACGAGAGGCTTGAAGAGAAAAATCGATACTAACGAGTACCCTGATAGTGATAAGGGTAAGAAACTGAAATCCTTGGTTGCAGCAGAAGGTGAAATAATTTCTCGCCGAGAAAAAGGTTTTCCAGGTATAGTGGTATCCATAAACCGGACGGGACTTTCTACAGCTGAAGCTGTTGATTTGTTCAGAGATACTTGTATTGATGAACTTGACGGAAAGGATACAAGTGACACTACTTCAGGTCCCGATAAATTCCCTCATTTGGACCACATAAAGGAAATGCAAGATTCAGGCTGCAATATCTCTACAGTAGAGAACAGTAGTGAGTCACCTTGGATAGCTATGTCAACTTATGCTGCATCTTTGCTGCCAATACATTCTGATCAAGAAAAACCTAGTCCTATCGATCCTGAGATTTTTAGGGCTGTTTATGCTGCCATTCCGAAGGCTGGTGACCAAGGTTTGAGCATGGAAGAAGTTTCTCAAGTCATAAATATTCCAGGTATGATGCCAGGAGTTTATGGGTGCAAATGATTACTTGTTGTTAAAGTATATAAAACTATTGTTGGCCCACCTCCTAACAGCTTAGGCTTTTGGGATGAATTGGTAAACTAACATGGTATCAGAGCGGGATGTCCTGAGTTTAAACTCCCGTAATTACATTCTTTATCAACATTTAAAATTGTCATCATGTGTTGGGTCTTTAATATATCTCGGGCTTAAATATTCACGTGTTGGGCTTTCCAATTAATTTACCCACACGATTGCCTATTGTCTAGCCCACACGTGAGGGGGAGTGTTAAAGTATAAAACTATTGTTGGCCTACAAAGTATAAAACTATTGTTGGCCTACCTCCTAACAGCTTAAGCTTTTAGGATGAATTGGTAAACTAACACTTGTCTATAGGTGATCTTCGGACAAGATGATATTACACCATCTCATCCATCCATATGGATAACTTCTTGTTGTTTCCTTTCAGGTGAAAAGATGTCCAGACTAATAATTTCTGTGCTCCAAACATTTGGACGAGCTTTAAAGGTTAGCTTTAGAAACTTATTGGCATTAGAGAATAATAACCTTGATTACGTGGAATTTTGTAACTGGAGAATTACCCTTATGCGTACTTGGAAAGGCTCTTCTAACCAAACACTGACCCGCCTCCAATGATGGTAATTTAAACCTGCAAGTGGAAACAAACTTTATTTTTCTGAGGAAAAATTTCATATTGATACCCTGTGTTATAGCGTAATTGTCTTTTGGTACCCTGTGTTTTTAGTAATTTTAAATTGGTACATTGACGTTTTAGAAAATTTTTTTTTAGTACTTTGAGGTCATTTTTTAGGATGTAAAATGTCAAATTTACCATTCTCATTACTTTACCAAAAACTAATAAATTTAGAAAAATTCTGAAAAAAATTATTTTTAATTTAAAGCATTATTTTAATTTTTAATTTTTAAATGTTTAAAAAAAATTTAAATTTTTTTCTAAATTTATTATTAGTTTTTTGGTTAATTAATGAGAAATGTAACTTTGACATTTTACATTTCAAAAAATGACCTTAAGGTACTAAAAAATGATTTTCTAAAATGTTGAGTTACTAATTTAAAATTATTAAAAACACAGGGTATTAAAAGACAATTATGCTAAAACATAAGGTACCAATATGAAATTTTCCCTTTTTCTGACTAACAGTAAAAGCATGGAGGGATGATCTATTTTGTTAATGTTTAATCACCAAGAATTGATCTGAGTCTAATAATCTTAGAAGGAAAAGGTGGTTTCAGACACTTGAAAGAACCATTAAAAAATGACGTAGTTTACTTTTGCAGCTTAAATTTGGGGACCTCTTTTGTTTTTGTTTTGTTTTTATTTGTTTTTGTTTTTGTTTTGTTTTTGTTTTTGTTTTTTTTGTTTTTATTTTTTTTTTGTGTAATTGCATATATGAATGGTTTCGACTAGAACTGTACTAGTTAAAAAAAGTAATTATAGTTGTTGACCTTTTGTCTTCTCCACAGGTTAATACTTTCAACTCTGTGCATGTTGTTGATGCTCTGTATCGTTCCAAGTATTTCCTGACATCAGCTGCAGATACATGTCAAGTTCTCAAAGCACCTTCTTGGGTGGAGACCATACAGGATGATGTCAGCCGCTTAGTCCTCCATGATTCTGGTGGTGCTTATACACGAGGCGAAATCAACGTGAATGCTGATGATGTGCACAAAGTGTCTCTCCTTAATTTTCCTGAAGAAGTTACCGAGTCCTTCAATGAAAATCAAACTAGCAATGTGCATGGAGGCTGTATGCAGGGAGAACTTGTTTTAACTGGAGGGGCTAAAGCAGATCAATCTGTATTTTCTTCTGGTGAATTATGTCTGCCAATATTGCCATGGATAAATGGAGATGGCAGAATTAATAAGGCCATTTACAAAGGACTAAGAAGACGTGTGCTTGGAATAGTGATGCAAAATCCAGGGATTTTGGAGGTAATCATCGTTTATTTTGCACAAGGTTCATCTATGGTTTACAGAAGGGAAAAACTAGAGCTTTAGAGGAGCATAGCTATTATGCCATCTGGAAGTAATCGGACCATGATCAAACAGTGTGTAATGCAAATTGCTTCAAGTTTGTGTTTAGAGATGTATAACCCACTGATATCATTCCATCTTTTTTTTTCCTTGAAAGAAAAAACAGGACTAAGAAAGAATTGTGTTTAGTTATCTTGAGATTCCAGTGTCTGTGTCTATCTTCTTACTTCTTTTTTTTTTTCCCCCTTTTTTTTTTTTTTTTTTTTTTTTTTTTTTTTTGTATGTGTATGTTAGGAGGAAATTATCAATCAGATGGACGTGTTGAACCCTCAGGTACGCGACTCAACTTCTCCAGTTAGGATTATCATGAGAAATTTTGAGATATTTGTTCCCGATATACTTTTTCTTTGGCTCTAACACAATAACCTAGTACGTTGGTTTTCACTGTGCTATAAAAATTTGTTGGAGAAGTAGAGAATTCTCATAAGATTTATGCTCTCTTGATGTTTGTGTTCTATGCTTTGCAAAGAGAGATAATGTATACTTAATTTCTCTTAAGCTCCTCAGCATTATACATCCGACATGCATGACCGGTTAATGTTTGTGTTTTCTTAATTTAAACAAACAAGCATATAATGCATTTCAGCATTATACATCCGACATGCATGACCGGTTAATGTTTGTGTTTTCTTAACTTAAACAAACAAGCATATAATGCATTTTCTATCATATTATGCCAAAAATCAAAGTAGAAAGTTCGTTGGGGTTCTTCTGAAGAAAAGAGATGCACGCATGAGGAATAGTTCTCTAATGCTAGCTCATAAAGACAATCTGTACGCACTCAGAAAAAGGGAGAAAGTAACTTTTTGTTGCTGTTTTGAGTTTTCTCTATTCAATAGACGAAATCCTTTCCATTATATATAGGCAAGGGAGAAAAGTATATAGTACCAGTGACCGCTATAGTAGCTGTGTTCTTTTTCTTTTTCTTTATTTTTTATTTTTTATTTCAAACAAGAACTGTCAACTTTGTGAATCCTTGTTGATATTAGCCCTTAATCTTTTGCAGAGCTGTAGAAAATTGTTGGAGATGATGATTTTGGATAAACACCTTGTTGTGAAGAAGATGCATCAAACTATGTCCAACTCGCCTCCGGCCATTCTCGCGACCTTCTTCAGAAGCAGCTTTAGCAAACCAAAGTTGGTCTGTCGGGAGCATTTTTTTGCAAATCCTCTGAGTACGTCTTTACTATAAGGAAGCTATTCTTGATTTTGGGAACATAGAAAAAAGCTATTAACATAGCTTTGTTGTGTAGAAGAAAAGAACTTTTGGGGCTAAATACATAATTATCTCAAAAGAGGGGGAATTTTTTTTTCAGATTCAAGATTTTCATCAAACAAACCAGTTTTCCCGCAAGTGGATTGTCTTCTTCTTCTTCTTCTTTTCTTTTCTTTTCTTTTTTTTTTTTTTTTTTTTTT